ATTTTTACTGTATAGTCTACTCACATGTGTTTTTCATTAATGGTGAAATGTCAGGAATCATTTAAGCAATAGGCTTACTTAACCGCTATCAATATTACAACAACAATACCTTGTCATCTTTCCAGCTTCCTGTATAGACAATCCCATTAGGAGTGGTATGAATACCTATTCCATTTCTCTCAAAGATTCCAGAAGATGTTCTTATACAGTCACCATCTAAACAAGAGAGAAATATATTGTAATCCATTATGAACGGGAACCTTGTTTGACTAGGTAATAAAGTATTTATGTTCAGGACTAATCACAACTGCATCTCTATGGGTCTCTTTGGCTCCCTAGCATTGAAACCAATGAGGCCAGAGATAAGGAGCTCCATGGACTTAGAAGGTCTTGTTTTTGTTTTTAAGTTTATTTATTTATTTGCTTAAGTAATCTCTTCATCCATCATGGGGCTCGAACTCATGACCCGAAGATCAAGGGTTGTATGCTCTTCTGACTGAGCCAGACAGGTGTCCCTTAAGTCACATAACCATTAAAAAACACACCTGACAGGAAGACCGACAGATCCCATACATGGGTTCCCAAGGCATACTATCTAGACTTAACATTACAGTTTAAATTTAAAATCTGGGAGCGCCTAGGTGGCTCAGTCGGTTAAGCAGCTGCCTTCAGCTCAGGTCCTGATCCCAGGGTCCTGGAATTGAGCCCCACATCAGGCTCCCTGCTCAGTGAAGAGCCTGCTTCTCCCTCTCCCTCTGCCTGCCACTCTGCCTACTTGTGCTCTCTCTATATCTCTGTCAAATAAATAAATAAAATCTTTAAAAATAAATAAAGAAATATAAAATCTGTCCATCTATTAGTATTTCTGTGTCATTTTGGTTAATGGAGTTAATATCCCAATACTAGTTTTACAAAATTTATAGTCTCATTTTTTTACTGTTAAGCTATTTAATTTTAGTCTAGATAGAAAAAGTAATTGAAATGTATGCTTACCATACTTGTCTCCATTTGGAAATATAAAGTTTATCTTATACACTTCAGCAGCTGTTTTAAAAGATTTAAGAAAAGTCAGATAAACTTAAATATTTTTATGTGAGAAGACCTTGTAACAAATGTGCTTTAAAAGCCAACCAAACTGGGGCACCTGGGTAGCTCAGTGGGTTAAAGCCTCTGCCTTCGGCTCAGGTCATGGTGTCAGGGTCCTGGGATCGAGGCCCGCATCGAGTCCTGCATTGGGCTCTCTGCTCGGCAGGGAGCCTGCTTCCCCCCCCACCCCCCACCCACCTGCCTCTCTGTCTAGTTGTGATCTCTCTCTGTCAAATAAAATGGGTAAAATCTTAAAAAAAAAAAAAAGAGCCAACCAAACTGACTCACTTCATATGATCACAAGCATATCATGATTACTTGGCATTCCCATTTTCTAGTATAGGGCCCTGGGGAAATGAATAACTTTGTCTAGATAATCTATTTTTATTTATTTGTTTATTATAATAGCTTTATAAATATATAATTCACATGCCACAAAACTTACCCTTTAAAAGTATACAATTCAATGGTTTTTTAATATATTCAGACATATGCAACTATCACCAGAATCTAATTTTATAATGTTAGCAGTTAGTCTTCATTCCCCTGGTTTCGACTCCCATGTCTTCTTTACCCCCACCCACCTTACCCCAGCCCCAGCCCCAGCCCCTGGCAACCACTAATCTACTTTCCATCTCTATGGATTTGTCTATTCTGGCCATTTCATATAAAGGAGTCACACAGTCAGTGGTCCTTTATGATTGGCTTCATTTACTCAGCATAATGTTCTTAGGGGTTCATCCATGTTGCAACAAGTAGCCATGCTTTTTGCCACCAAATAATAACCCCCTGTACAGAAATAACAGTTTGTTTATTCATTCATCAATTGGTGGACAGCTGGGTTGTCTCCAGTTTGGGCTGTTATGAAAACGTTGCTATGGACATTGATGTGTCAGTTTTTGTGTGGTTATATGTTTTTCTCTCTCTTGGGTAGCCTATATGACCTATTGATGCCCTCACAGAGGTAAAGTGGAGTGAGGAATTGGCAAAAGGAGGGAATAGAAAATAAAGATAGTAAATGATAGTAGGGAGACGTAGGGGTGAGGTCGTCTAAACAGAATGCGATTAGAATGGAGACCAGGTCAAAAGAAAGCATTGAGGGGAATCTATGCCTCAAAGCCCTGGGACATTTAGTGGACTAAATCACTAGATATTATTTTTTCCAATACCAAAGAAAAACATATATAGAGAGAAGATAAGTAAATTCTAACTTCTGGGACAACAGAGTCTACCAGAATATTACTCAAAGTGTGGCTCATGCCTCAGAATTACTTGGGATGCTTGCAAGTTCCTATACTACTGAATCAGAATCTCTATGGGTGGGGCAAGAGAACTGACATTTTTACTTAAAAATTAATTTAGGTGTCAATCGAGAAAGACTGGAGGCTCATCCCCTTTGAGGAAATATAACACAATAGGTAGAAGACTTTAAAATACTGTAACATCCTCAGAGAGTAAGGGAGAGTGTAGTATCCTTGAGACCGAAATAGGCGGTTATGAAAAAGAACCAATTAGCAATCTAGGAGATGAATAACATTAATTGGTGTAATGACTGAATAGCAGAATGGATACAGCTGAAAAGTAAATTAGTGAACTGGAATACAAAGTTGCAAATTTTTCCCAGAAAAAGGCACACACAAAAAGAGACAGCTATCACTTGAGCAAAGCCTTTCTTATCTCCCTTATCCCCCAGACTCGTCTAGGAGTCTCCACAGCGCCCCGGGCTGATCCCTACTATTGTACTTAGAACCCTGTTAAAATAACGCTTTGGTGCTGGAATCTCCAATCTCAATACCCAGCTCGTCTAGGTCAAGGATCAGGGATTAGTCAAATGTTTTTTTTCTCACTCTAGCGTCCAGCATAGTACTGAGTTGTAGGTGCTTAGTACTTGTAGGTAGGAACTGAACAATCTTTAAATGCTTATTAAGCACGGCACATAAGTTGATCATACAAAAAAACCAAAATGTTTTCAAATGTCCTTAAATGGTTCCACATTTGAAACGTTGTAATGTTAGAGCGAGAGGGAATGTAAGACATGGAGACCATCTGGCACCAGAGAGGAAACTGAAATCCGGAGAGGATGTCATTTGCCTCAGATGTCACAACAGCAAATCGACGGCCGAAACACAGCTAGAATCCAGGTGTTCTGATTCCCAGGCCAGGGGTGGGGGTGTGGGGTTCTCCGTGTCCCCACGTCATCCCCGGTGTAGACGATCAGGAAATAAGTCACAACCACACAGGCGCTACCAGTGGTCACGCTCTGGCTTAATGCGAGTTCTACTTAGAGGTGACCTTCCCGGCTCGGGGCATTGGGAGGAGGGGCACTCACTTGACAGAGGTGTGCCGCAAATATTTTCTTGACTCTGCGGTTCCTCCTGGGCCGCCAGTTCTGTGGCATTGAGGGCAAGAAGCGCTAACTCCGCGCTGAGCGCGACTCGGTCGCCGGGGCGACGAGGCACCTCTCACCCGGAAGCGAATATGCGAGGGGCCGACGTTGAGCCAATCGGAAGGCAGCGGGTTGTGCTGCCGCAGCTGGGCCGCCGCGGAGCCGCTCCGGGTGAGATCACGGTGGGTGCCGAAACCCCAGCGGGACCCCTTCGGCCCCGGGTGCTTCCTCCTGACAGCCGCCCCGGGAAGCCGCGCTGCGAACCCGCCATGGCCTCCCCCTTCCGCGGACAGGGGATGTGTGCGTGTTTGCGTGGTCCGCGCGCCGCCCTGGTTGTCAGTGTGCGGACCCTGCTGCCGCCTCCCTCTCCGGGGGTGGTCAGGGTCTGAGGAGCATCCGGCGGGGGGGGGGCATCCAGGCAGGCTGGCTGGGGCGGGTGAGTCTGTGCTAGCAGGAACCCGGGTTGTCCGCACCCGGGCTGGAGGCGAGGGAGCTGATTTCAGCTACGAGAAGGGTTAAGTGTTGCGTTGAAGAGGCTCGGGTTTCCTTTCCTGTCTCTTGTCGGCGTCTGGAACTGAGTATATGATGGAAGAAAGGTACCAGGTGTAGGTATCTGCGTGGAGCTGGATGTATGGGGTCAGTCAGAGGTTTGCCTGGGAAGGGAGGGTGTGTGATCAGTTTTCAGTGCCCTGTTTGGTGATTCTGTTCCTGGGGGCCTGTTCTGGGTGTGAAACAAAGGATCCTCTTCGAGCCAAACTTAGGTTCCTGTGTCCACGGTGAAGAAAAATAGTTGGAATCTTCCCAGGCTAAGTGGAATAGAATAGAGACATTTAATCCGCGTAGATCATACAACCTGATTCTCATTCCCTTGAAGACATCTGGGGTGAGTCGTATTGGTACAGCCAGCAGTCTTCCTTCAACATTTTGAGAGCAGATCTCAGATGAGGTTGTAAAGTTGACATTTTCTGGGTTGGTGTGAGACAAGTTGTTGCTCGTTTATTTAGGCAAGCTAGCTGGGGCGTGGTCTGGTTGGCTAGCCACTCTTTAAAAATCAAAGCATATTATCTTCTTGCCTTTTTCCTAATGTATTTTACTTACACAAACTTACCTGGACTGGGTGTTTTTTGAGCTGAATCTGATTTGTATATCCTTTACCTTTTTCTGAATCCTAGAAGTAATAGATAATTACTGATGCACAACTTTACAGAATTTCAGTTTGCCTGATTGTTTTGGTCTCCTGCTAAGCTTTTAACGACCCTAAGTTTTTGTGAGTATAAGTACCACTGTTTTTACAGAAGAATTTGAGGTAGTTGGGCTTCTTATGATATTCTTATCTAAGAGATCTGGAGTCAGGAAACTTGCAATGAAGGGATTTGAAATTTGTATTGGAAATGTGTATTAATCATTTTTAATTTTCCATATTTTATTCTGTTTTGACACATCGGGGACCTACCTGGCCAGGAAGAAGCTGCCCTTCCTAGGGATAGCTAATTCACCCTGACCTGTGAACACACCTTTCATATGCAGACCAACCCCCATCACCTACCTCCTTTATCATAATTTTTGCACCCCAAGCCAATTCCTCCCTCCCCCTAAATCAACCCAGGGCCAGGTCACAGGCAACTAGGCACAGCCCCTCTGCCCAAAGCCTGCTGGGATTATTTTAACTGGCCAGTCCTAACTGTTTACTCTGCCCTGCCTTTCCTGCGGAAACCCTAAGAAAGGCTGTGGCTTTTGCCTTCCCCTGGCTCCTTTGTGCCTCCTGACTGACACCGGTGCTTCCTCCTGTGGACCTGGCCTGCCGTGGCACGGCGCACCTCTCTCCTTTCTGGCCAAATGGTGAATAACATTAAACTTTTCTTTTGGTGGCATTGATCTCTCCTTTATAAATTAAGACCCAGGCACAGATCAAAGGAGGTCTTGTTTATCACTAAACTTTGAATTGAGGAATTGAAGATACAAGGTACATGTGTGTGGTGAGGAGGAGGAGGAATGGTAGGAAGCATTTGGCTTTGGTGTCAAACAGATTGCTTCAAACCCTGGCTCCAGACTTTGCTTCTATACATTAGGTGGCATTAGACATGTCATATAATTATCTGTGCTCTAGTCTCCTCCTTTATAAAATGTAGAAAATTATCTTTACCATACTAGATTTTTAGAGGTTTAAATGAAATAATCTTACCTTTCCCCTTAATGCAGACTTGTTTGCTCAACTACCTTCAATAGGTCTCCATGTGAGTATCTAATTGGCATCTCAAAGGTCACAGATCCAATGAACTTGTGACACCCTCCCTGATTTTTTCCTCCCCAGTATTCCAGTTCTGAACTCATGACACCACTATTTACCCAGTTAACGTAGGCTAAAAAATCTCACAGTAATTGTAGACATTTCTTTCTCATACTTTTCATCTCATTCATCTACATTTAAAATACATTCAGAATCTGTGACCACTTTTCAACTCTACTGCTCCCATCCTAGTCCAACGCACTGTATTTTTTCTGTATTTGCTCTGCCTGAACAACTGCAGTAATTTCCTAGTTGGCATCCTGGCTTCTCCTCACTGTGCCCCTGCCCCCCCAACCTCCCCCACCCCAGTCTCTTTATTCTTCACATAGCAGCTAGAGTAATTTTTTTTTTTAAGACTTTTTGTTTATTTATTTGTCGGAGAGAGAGAGAGAGTGCACAAGCAGGCAGAGTGGCAGGCAGAGGCGGAGAGAGAAGCAGGCTGCCTACTGAGGAGGGAGCCCAATGCGGGACTTGATCCCAGGACCCTGGCATCATGACCCGAGTTGAAGGCAGCGGCTTAACTGACTGAGCCACCCAGGCATCCCTAGAATAATTGTTTTAAAATGTGAGTCAGTCCTAGCCATCTTTTGCCTCAGCTCTTTAGAGATTTCCTATCATATTTAGAATTTTAAAAAATTTTTCCAAAAAAAATTTTTTTCCAAGTCACTTTTAGTTAAACAGATTAAATTCTAGTTTTTTTTTTAAATCTAAAGCTACGGGGCACCTGGGTGGCTCAGTCATTAAGCCTCTGCGTTCAGCTCAGGTCATGATCGCAGGTTCCTGAGATTGAGCCCCACATCAGGCTCCCTGCTTGGCGGAAAGCCTGCTTCTTCCTCTCCCACTCCCCCTGCTTATGTTCCCTCTCTCACTGTGTCTCTCTCTGTCAAATAAATAAATGAAATCTAAAGCTACATAAAACCCAAAGCAATCTATTTTTCTATCTGAGAAAAAGCTTCTTTTTTCCTATCTAAACATAATTCTTGGCATTGAAGTAATCTGAATTCACGTGATATACGCTGTCAAACTTTTCCAAAATACTTAAAGCCCTGCTTTGGAGAGAAATTCTCATGTTACAATACATATTTACATATTTTTTCTCAAAAACTAATGACACATTTATGAGGTTAATAGGCATGTAATGGGACCATGATACTACTAATGATACTAAAATGAAAAGCAGTTCATTTATACAAAGCGTTCCTGTATGGTACAGTATGAAATGGAATCACAGAATCTCTGTACATAAATGAATCACCAAAAGAAATAAGCTCACTTTAAGATTCATTCTTTTGTTTGGAGCAGAGATGGCCAAGTTGTGATGTATAACAAAAATATTGTGTATAAAATCTTCGAAGTCAAGTATTAGCCTAAATTGGCAATAACTGCAACTTAAGAACCAAACCCAACCAGATCTTTACTGTGGCAATGCAACCTTAACTTTGTGGCCTGCCCGCTTTACTGAGGTAACAACCCCTTCTCTCTTGCCTCTCCTCACAGTGCTCCCCCTGTCTCCAGCTTTTTCTTGGCCTTCTCTGCTCTCTGACCTCATCTGCTCTCCTCACTTCAGTACGGACCCATCAGACTTCTTACTGTTTGTCCAGCTCAGTGCATTGAAGATGTTCTGGACCTGGCACCTTCCCCTCGGAATATTCTTTTCACAAGTATTTCATGGCTCATTCTCAGTTTGTTCAGGTTGTCTGCTCAAACATGATCTCTCAGAGGCCTTACCTGACTACTCTCTTGAAAATAACAGGCTTGGGATTTTTCTTTTTCTGTACAGCATTTAACTGGCATTATCTGTTTGTTTATTTGTATCTTACCCTTTGAAGATAAGCTTCATGAGGAATTTTGTCTTCTTTGTTGTTATATCAGTTGTTGGCTCATGTATTCTGGTGCTCTGTTATTAGGTGCATATATATTTATCATTGTTATATCTTCCTGATAGATCAGCCCCTTTATCATTATGAAATGTCCTTCTTTATTTCTAGTAACATTTTTTTTTGCTTTAAAGTTTATTTTGTCTGATATTAGCACAGTCACTCCAGCTTTCTTGTGGTTGCTGTTTGCATAATTTATCTTTTACCATCTGTTTTCTTTCATTTATTTGTTTCTTTGAATTTAAAATGATAAATAAATAGCATATAGTTGGATCATTTTTTAAACTGAGGTATAATTGACATATAACATTAGTTTCAGTTATATAACATAATGATGTCATTTGTATATATTGTGAAACGATCACCACAGTAAGTCTAGTAATTAGCATCCACCACCTTACATAGTTACAAAAAAAACTTTTTTTCTTGTGATGAGGATTTTACAATTTATTCTCTTAGCAGCTTTCAAGTATGCAATAGAGTATTATTTACTATAGTCCCCATGCTGTACATTATATCTCCATAATGTATTTATTTTATAACTGGAAGTTTGTACCTATTGACCCCTTTACCCATTTTACCCACCCTCTACCCACCACCTCTGGTGACCACCAATCTGTTCTTTTTATCTGTGAGCTTGGTTGTTTTTGTTTTTAAATTCCACATTTGAGTGAGATCTTACGTATTTGTCTTTCTCTCTCTGACTAATTTCACATAACAAAATGCCCTCAGTGTCCATCCTTGTTGTCACAAATGACAATATTTCATTCTCTTTTACGGCTGAATAGTATTCCATTGTATATACCCATATGTATATGATTTTGAGTTAATATTTTCATTTTCTTTGGATAAACACCCAGAAGTAGAATTATTAAACTGTATGATAGTTCTATTTTGAATTTTTTAAAAGATTTTATTTATTTATTTGAGAAAGAGACAGTGAGAGAGAGCATGAGAGGCAAGAAGGTCAGAGGGAGAAGCAGACTCCCCGTGGAGCCGTGATACCGATGCGGGACTCGATCCCGGGACTCCGGGATCGTGACCTGAGCCAAAGGCAGTTGCTTAACCAACTGAGCCACTCAGGTGCCCTCTATTTTAAATTTTTTGAAGAATCTCCATACTGTTTTCCATAGTGGCTATGCCAACTTACATTCCTACCAACAGTGCACAAGAGTTCCCTTTTCTCCATATCCTTGCTAACACTTGTTATTTCTTGTCTTTTTGATGATAGCCATTTGCACAGGTATGAGGTGATATTTCATTGTGGTTTTGGTTTGTATTTCCCTGATAATTAGTGATGTTGAGCATCTTTTCATGTACCTTTTGGCCATCTATATGTTCTCTTTGGAAAAATGTGTATTCAGATCATCTGCCAGTTTTTTAATTGAATCATTTGGGTTTTTTTGCTATTGAATTGTATGAGCTCTTTATATATTTTAGATATTAATCTCTTATCAGATACATGATTTGCAAATATTTTCTCCATTCAGTAGGTTGCCTTTTCATTTTGTTGATGTTTCCCTTTGTTTGCAGAAACTTTTTAGCTTGATGTAGTCCCACATTTTCATTTTTGCTTTTGTTGCCTTTGATTTTGGAGTCAGAGTCAAAAAATCACACCAACACTGATATCAAAGAGTTTACTGCCTATATTTTCATCTAGGAGTTGTTTGGCTTCAAGTCTTACATTCAAGTCTTTAATCCATTTCGAGTTCATTTTTGTGTGTGGTGTAAGGTAATAGTCTAATTTCATTCTTTTGCATGTGGCTGTCCAGTTTTCCCAACACGATTTATTGACCTCTTTTCTCATTGTTTATTCTTGGCCCCTTTATTGTGAATTAATTGACCATATATGTGTGAGTTTGTTTCTGGGATCTCTATTCTGTTCCATTCATCTGTGTGTCTGTTTTTATGCTAATAGTATACTGTTTTATTACCACAGCTTTGTAATATAGTTTAAAATCAGGGATTATGATGCCTCCAGCTTAGTTCTTCTTTCTCAAGATTGCTTTGGCTATTCAGGGTCTTTGTGGCTCTGTGCAAATTTTAGGATTATTTGTTCTAGTTCTGCAAAAAATGCCATTGGGATTTTGATAGAGGTTGCATTGAATCTGAAGATTACTTTGGGTAGTATGGACATTCTAATAATTATCAATTCTTCCAATCCATAAGCACAGACTATCCTTCCATTTATTTGTATCTTCTTTGGTTTCTTTCATCAATGTCTTCTAGTTTCCAGTGCACAGTTCTTTCACCTCCTTGGTTAAATTTATTCCTAGGTACGTTCTTATTTTTAATGTAGCTTATTACTTCTTGAGTTAAAACTATTTTCTTATAGGAATATGCAAGTCTAAGAGAATATCTTAAAGCTAGCTTTGGGGACGCCTGGGTGCCTCAGTGAGTTAAACGTCGCCTTCTGCTTAGGTCATGATCTCAGGGTCCTGGGACTGAGTCCCATATCAGGCTTCTTGTTCAGTGGAGAGCCTACTTCTCCCTCTGCACCTCCCCCTGCTTGTGCTCCCTCTCTCTGACAAATAAATAAAATCTTTAAAAAAATGAAATGAAATAAATATCTAGCTTTGGCTGTATTTTATAATTTTAATGTATCATTTTCATTTTTGCTTTCTTTTTGGTCTATATCTGTTTTGCTTTATATATTTAGGTGTTCTGATGTTGGGTACATAAATATTTACAATTGTTGGAACCTCTTGATTTAATCCCCTTATCATTATGTAATGACCATCTTTGTCCCTTGTTAGTTTTTGCCTTAAAGTGCATTTTGCCCAATAAAAATATAGTTGTCCCTGCTTTCTTTTGGTTTCCATCTGCATGGAATAGCTTTTTCCATCCCTTCACTTTCAGTTGGTGTCCCTAAAGCCAAAGCACTTCTGTTGTAGGCAGCATATGGTTGGGTCTTATTTTTTCATCTCTTCAGCCATTTTGTGTCTTTTGCTTGGAGAAATTAACCTCTTTACATGTAAGGTAATTACTAATAGGTAAGGGCTTAATACTGACATTTTGTTAATCGTTTCTTAGGTGTTTTATAAATCCTTTGCTCCTTTCTTCCTCTCCTACTGTCTTTGTGAGTTGATGGTTTTCTCTAGTAGTATGCTTTGATTCCTTTCTCTTTTGTATACATACTGTAGATTTTTGCTTTGTAGTTTCCATGAGGCTTACATAAAGCATCTTATAGTTATAATATTCTATTTTAAGCTGGTTAACAACTTAACTTCATTTGCATGCAAAAGCTCTATACTTTCATTCTACCCAGGCAAAATCTCTGAACAAGGTCTGTGTCTCTGAAAGTGTATATGTAAATTAAAATTTTGTTTATCAAATCACGTATTAACTACACGAAGAACATCTCTTTTCAACTAGAGTTTTTTAAACCGTATACCAAATCTAACCAAATCGGGATCTAGGACTGGGGCTTAAGCATGTGTGTTTTGAAACTTCTCAAGGTATTTCTGATGCATATTCCTGGTTAAGAAATCTGTGTCGGAGAAACTCAATAAATATTAATCCTCAGAGGGATGTGCTTGTAAAGCTTTTGTTAAAACAATTTATCTATGCTTCCCCTAGACTGACCCTTTTCAAAAACATGCATTTCCTTATTTCTTTGTAATGGGCTCTGTCCATAACTGTGACAAAGGATTGTCATACTTGTCTAGTTTTATGATGTGTGTATTAATTTCTCTCTTGCAGGCGAAAATGAGTTCTTCAGTAAGAAGAAAAGGCAAGCCAGGCAAAGGAGGTGGAAAAGGGTCGTCTAGAGGAGCCAGAGGAGGCAGGAGTCACACCAATAAATCGCACGGGGGCGGGGGCGGCAGTGGTGGTGGCAGCGCTGGCAATCGGAAGGCCTCGAGTAGAATTTGGGATGATGGCGATGACTTTTGTATCTTCAGTGAATCAAGACGCTCATCCAGGTCATTATGCTTTTTTAATATTTAAGTATAGAAATAGTATCAGTTCGTGACCTGTGGGACAGCAGAGAGCTAAGAGGAAGGGGGGAAAATGCCAAGTAATTCTGGTCAAGTAAATTGTAGCTCTTGTTTTAAAACCTTGCAGTCTCCTACTCTGTAACCTTTTCTAGAGGCTTCCCAAAAAAGCCACCTAATGGCTTTTTTTGGAAGGTCGAAATCTGAGGTTAACTTCAACTTTCAGGCCACTGTGAATCAAATATAATGCTGTTGCTGTAACTCATGTTACCAGAAAAGTAAGTATTGGAAATGGCAAAAGTGGTGAAAATTATTTTGACTATTTCTTACACATTGTAGTTTGAAAGTCCCCGAATGCTACTTGTTGGTCCTCTCTGTCTTTTTAGTTGATGAATTATCTCTTTTCCAGACATATCAGCCAAAGCTTCGCTGGTGCTTTGTGTGATGACCCGTGAGAGAGTCATATCCAGGCTTCTTTCATCTTCACCTTTCAAATATGAACAGATTCTGATAATTCTAATGAATATTTAGTAAAAGTATAGGTTTTATTGCTGCAGGTTATATAGCATAGATAGAGAATTCTCACTGTCTGCAAGCTGTCCACGGAATTTTTGGAGATGGAAAGGTTTCTTTAAAGCTACACGCACACACACTCTCTCTCTCTCTCTCTCTTTTGTGGAAATAACTCCCAACTAAATATTAATTAGAAAGGAATATAGGTGTGTGCTAGAGCTTAACTGCATCAAACATGCTTTTAACTTAAATGAATACAAGTATTTGCACTCAGAAAAAGAAAAAAGAAAAACAGATAGCATTTAAATAGTTTAAACCTGCCACTGAATGAATCTGAGCCCCATAGTGAGCAAGACATGGAAGAAGTATAGTTCCCTCGATCAGTCTCTGTCTCCAGGTGCTTTTTGTAGTTGAAGCCACTTGATGCACTGAGTATGTGATTTTAGGGCTTAAATACATATTTTTATATATACTCCCTAATATAACCAAGAACTTCATCTAATATTCAACCAGAGAGTCTACAAATGTTTTTTTGTTCTAAAAGAAAAATGATCATTTTGGACATACTGAGAGCTAATATATCATTCTCAAACTTGACCCTTTTTTAAAAGGAATCTAGGAAATTTCTAGGGGAATTTTAAGGTATATTTTCACTTTACCTGCTGACTTAAGAGCCTAACTTCTGAGTTAGATGCAGCTCCCTTCTTTTTGAAAACATAAACATTGTAACTGGGGGTTCTTATAGCCTTAGGCATCCATTCATGCTGCAAATATGTACTGAGCGCCCATTATGCACCCCACACTGTGTTAGGGACTAGAATTAGAGCAATGAATAAGAGAGTGTTCTTGTCTTCATAGAAGCAAGTTTGAGGTATAAAGACCATAAATGATATATAATATGCCAGGCAGAAAGTGCCCTGGAGAAAAATGAAGATAAAAGAGGTAGAAAATGCCAAAATAAACTGCTGTTATTTTTAAGTGGTTGCTGTTTTATGTAGAGTGATCAGGGAAGGCTTCTCTAATAACATGTCCTTTAAGCAGGGACGAGAAGGAGAACATTCAAGGCAGCGGGAACACCACGTACAAAGCCCCTCAGCCAGGAATGTGCTTGGAAGGTTTAAGAAGTGGCAGGGAAGCATGTGGCCAGAGTGGATGGGTAAGAAGGAGAGTAACAGGCAGTTAGATCCAAAAGGCTAATGCTATGTAGGACCTTAGTGTCCTTTTTAAGGATTTTGGCTTTTGCTTTGAGAAAGATAGGAGGCCATTGTCAGCCTTGAGGCAAAGGTATGTGACATCAGTCCCTCCTGCCAGAGTTGCTACTATTCATTGTATGCCTTTATGTGAATTAGAAAATGGTGCCCCTTTCTTTGGGCAGTTATAGCCCTAGAAGCATGGCTTGTAAGCTAACATGGACTGGATTTGAACACTTGCTGTCCCATCCTCCCTCATCTTCCTCCTATCCCCACCAGGAGCCTTTGCACAGTGTTCAATCTGCACAACTATACTCGGTAGCCCTGACTCAGTATTCCGTTTGTACTGTCTATAGGCAATTTACATCTAAATCTTGAGTTCGGGGAAAAAATCTGAGCTAGAGAAGTTAATGTATGAGTCCTCTAAATGACCGCAATTTAGAACTGTGAGATCGGATGAGACGGACTATATAGATAGAGAAGAGGTCTGAACTTTGAGGCCTGGGCTACTCTAGGCTTTATAGCTGAGAGAGATTAGGAGAATCTGTCCAAGGGGATAGGGGAGTTGCCAGAGGAGTAGGAGGAAAACTAGGAGAGTTTGGTTTCTGGAATCAGGAAATAAAGCTGCTCTGAAGGGGATTATCCAGTTGGATAGGGTGGGATCCATAAAGGGGATACTTGTCGTGAAGGAGTGCTTGTGAGAGCTCAAGAGAGATGTGCGCTCACAGCTGGCCCCTGGATTTGGCGGTGTGGGTAGCATAGGTGACCTTTATTTCTTTAGTTGCACAGCCATTGCCTTACATAATTATGGTTTCTTTGTTTATTTTTGGTGTGAATTTTTCTTTATTCAAGTCTAATGAATATACAGTCTTTTAGTAGTTTCAGTCACACAGAATAATTGTTCGGCAATTCTGTATGTTACTTAGTGCTCATGAGGATCAGCGCCCTCTGCATCCCCATCGCCTGTTCACCCATCCCCGGGCTCCCTCCTCCCCGCTGACGGCCACCAGTTGGATCCATGTATTTAAGAGTCTGCTTTTCCGCTTGTCTCTTTTTGTTTTCCTTTGTTCATTTGTTTTTGTTTCTTAAATTTTACATACGAGCGAACTTCTAAGAACTGTCTCACCAAATTCAAATATATAAAACATCATATTTAACTATGGTCACTGTGTTGTACACTACATCTCCAGAACATACTCGTCTTATTACTAAGTTTGTCCCCTTCTATTTCCTTTAGCCATTTGCTGCAGCTCTCCCTCTGCCCCATAGGAATGATCACTTCCCCTAAGCAGGCCTAGAAGATGCAACATTTTCTTTATTCCCACAAAGGTGCTGTGTAATCTAGTTATGACCCTAAGACTGCTGGAGAACACATGTGAAGGCCGCCAGGAGTTTCTTGAACCAATGGAATGGGCTGCACATTTTTGCATCGTGTTTATTCATTTGAATTCAGGATTATTGGAGACTCCTGTTTTATTGAGGACTGCAGTTATGCAGGCCACCAGGGTAAGATTAACTAAGAAAATTATCTTATACATGGAAAGGTTTATAATCCAGATGTCCCTCACCTGCCATTTCCTAAGAATCAGGTAATTTCAGTTTTTCATTGGTATCTCCCTTTTCTGTGAATCCCAAGCCAGATCTTACACTGTTTCTGTAGGTGGCATGACAGTTATATGCCTAGCAGAAGATGAGCTGACAGGATCTCTTCTCTCTGTTGCCATTTTGGTCTTATCTCACAGCTTTACTCCAAGGCCTCAGCTGGTGAATGTCTGCACCTTAGCTTCAGTAACAGTGTTACTGAAGTAGTGTTCAAGACTCTTGATGGGTAGTAGGATGAGGCACGATTTTCTTAGTGTAGTGTTTGATTTTTCTCCTTGTAATTTTGGTTTTAGGCCTCACTGAATTATATATCTAGAGCATAGGTCTTGACAAGAGCTGTTTGATATAGTCGGTGAGGAGAAGCCCTGATTGTAGTGTGTGTCAGAGAGAAAAGGAAGGAAAATGGAGACAAAGACAATGATTTAGATAACCCTTCTGAGGAGTTTTACAATAAAGGGCAGAGGAGGGAGAAGAGATAAGGCAATAGTTTGAGGGGGAGAATTTGGTTTGTTTTTTTTTTAAGATGGTAGAATTACACAGGATGTGTGTGTGCTGATGGGACTGCTCCAAGAGGAATGAAGAACTGACGATGTAGAGGAAAATACAATGCTGGGATTCTTTCCTTGAGGAGACTGAAGATTTTGGGATACAGTGTACAAACGGAGGGATTGACTTTAGGATCACAGTGGGCATGGAGCCTACTTTAAAAGAAAGAAAAGAACGTTAGAAGAAATGATAGACTTGGGGCAACATTTCTTTTCAGAAACTATGACTAAATGACTAAAACCATAATCGATTATATTTTCTCCTTTGCTATCCAGTGTTGCAAGTTTATATGTGTGGTTCTTTTCAAAGTCTTAATATTGTGAATTGAGATTTTAAACATAAAAAGTTTCTTCCATTTCCTAGATTTGTGAAAATTTATAATGAAACATGCCAAATGAAAAAAAGAAATTTAGTGAATAATGTTAAACTTTAAAATTTATTATTGTTTTAAATATTAAAAAGAATCCCTAAAAAAAAATCTAAAATCTAACAATGAAAGATGAGTGAAGTAAATTCCATTGCATCTATATCTATACGTACCCATTTAAAGATACATTGTAGGAGGGCTCCTGGGTGGCTCAGTGGGTTAAGCCTCTGCCTTCGGCTCAGGTCATGATCTCAGGGTCCTGGGATTGAGCCCCACATCGGGCTTGTGCTCAGCAGGGAGCCTGCTCCCCCTGACCTGCCCGCCTGACTCTCTGCCTACGTATGATCTCTCTCTCTCTGTCAAAAAAAAAAACCAAAAAACCGCCACCACAACCAACAACAATGACAAAAAACACATTGTAAGAGAATATTTAATCTTAGAGAAATACCAGTTTTATTTTGATAAGCAAATAAAGCAAATATAAAAGATTATATTATACTGTATAGTTTTATTTATAAATGTGAAAATAATTGATGTGAATTAGAATGACTTCTGTTTTCTACTTTTCTCCAGTGAACATGTATTTATTATTATTTTTTTTAATGAGGAAGTAATGATAATTTAGGTAATATTTCTGAAGCAGGGCCTAATATTCACAAGTAAGATGAGACCCTTCATTGTTTTCAGATTGGGTACCCAAAATAGAATGAAATAATATTTGTGTGTAACACATTTTTTTTTTGAAAGTCCTCTATTCCAGCAGGAGTCATCCTACTATTAGTTTTTCCAGAGCATTCTTGAGTTAGTGAAGCCAGATTTAATGATTATCTAATCAGATTTTTTTTTTCCAGCAGCAGCAAGATAATAAAGTCTGGTAAGTACTGTGGAAAACAAGGAATTCTTCACATTCATTGTTACCATTTGTAAGGTAGTTGACAGTCCCGCTGGTGCTGTATATATTTGGGGCCTGTGGGGTGAGTGTCAAAGTTCTGGTCCCAAGTCAATGTGTCCTTTGCAGACCTAGCAACAGTAGTGTAAGAAAAGGAGAGGCACGCCCCAGATGGAAGCCCGAAGCCAAAGTGCCCCTTCAGACCCTGTACATGACTTCTGAGAACCAGGAGAAAGTGAAAGCTCTTCTCCGGGACCTGCAGGAGCAAGACGCGGACGCTGGATCTGAGTAAATCATTTTATTTGAGTAAATTCGTATGTGAAGGAAGCTGTGTTGGCAGTGGGCAGGTCCCACGTGTCTTTGGGACGACTTTTCAATACTGATCCTATGGTGACAATGTAATTAGTTGGAAGTGAGCTGAGAGAAATAACAAGAATAACTATTCAGCAACAGTTTCGGAGTGAGTTCGTATTGCAGTATCTGCGAGCAGTACAAATTGCCTTTTCTCTTTTTTTCCGAGGACAATGCTGAAACAGACTCAGTAATTGCTTTATTAACAGGCTCCTGAATAGAACCTTGGAGTAAACAAGCAGCGGTGTTGTTGTAGGAGCAGATACCGAGTTGATGAGATGAAGGCTTAGGGATACACTTTCTCATAACCGTCTGCCAAAGAGAAACAACTTGGACTCTTTGACTGTTTTGCTTTGTGATTTCAGTCAAAGAAGTCAATTCATCGCATTCGCCACAATTAATGGGTGGTCAGTGGTGAACAGCTCCATCTCCAGCTTATCTATAAATCTCTTTATCTGCTTTAGATTTAGGAAAGGTGGTTATGCAGCCAAGCAAAAAATGAGGGATGGTTTTTATGAACGAGGAGAGAGAATAGCCAGGGCTTCCGTGGTTAAGAATATAGGCTCTGGGGTCAGACTGCCTTGGTTAAAAATCTCTGGTTGCTCTTTACTGTATAACCTTTGGCGATTACTAATCCTCTCTAAGTTTTAGTTGATCATCTGAAAAATGGAGATTCCAATAGTATCAGATTAGTGGGAAGACTTTTAAAGAGACAGACCATATAAAACCCTTAACATAGTACCTGGCATGTCATAAATGCCTGGTGAATATTAATTGCCAGGATATAAATGAATAGATCAATAAAAGTTTAAATCAGGGGGTGCCTGGGTGGCTCAGTGGGTTAAAGCCTCTGCCTTCGGCTCAGGTCATGATCCCAGGGTCCTGGGATCGAGCCCCGCATCAGACTCTCTGCTCAGCAGGGAGCCTGCTTCCCTTCCTCTCTCTGCCTGCCTCTCTGCCTACCTGTGATCTCTGTCTGTCAAATAAATAAATAAAATCTTAAAAAAAAAAAAAAAGGTTTAAATCAGTGACTAAAGAAGAGTTAGGATCCTAAAAAAAAAAAAAAAAAGAAAAGAAAAGAATAGTTAGGATCCTGGGTCCTTTGGCTCCTTGAACTAAATTCTTAGACTCTTGCTTAATTATTCTTTGAAGTACATGGAAATTAGTATCTAATGTAAGAAATATTACCTTTGGCAGAAGAGGCATTTCCGGGGAGGAGGAAGATGATGAACCCGAGTGTGATGATGAACAGTACTGGTCTGCTGGACGAGAAGCTTCCCTTGTTCCTGACTGTGACCCTTTGGAATATGCTGGCTCAGGCCCAATGGAGCCTCATAGTCCAGAGTTTACCGTCTCGACATTTGCAGTGCAGAAGCTTTCCAGGTGATTGCTTTCAACATTGATGGGAGTTAGGGGAGAACTGAAGAGACTGAAATCATACTATAAACCCAACTACCCCTCTGGAGTACTTTCCTAGTGTGTGGGTTGTGGCAGTGCCTGATACATGTCTAATATCTTCTCTTTCAGAACAAGGTGATTAGGGAGTATTACCAGAGATACTTTTTCAAAATACAGATCCTACCTATATATGGTGATAACTTCACACAAACGTGTATAAATGAATTTCACTTCTGTGACTTGCTACTACTTAATATTTTTGTCGCGTTTCACACTTGTAGGTACGGCTTCGACACTGAGCGCTGTCAGGCAGCCCTGAGGCTCTGTGATGGAGACGTCGGGGCATCACTAGAACATCTGCTCACACAGTGTTTTTCAGAGACATTTGGGGAGAAGATGAAGAGCTTGGAGGCAGTTACCCGTGTCAGCTTGGATGAGTGTGTGGAACAGCGGCAGGAAGAGGCATTTGCTCTCAAGTCCATCTGTGGAGAGAAATTTATAGAAAGAATTCAGAACCGAGTCTGGACCATTGGATTAGAACTGGAGTACTTGACGAGTAAATTCTGCAAATCCAAGCAAAAGGAAAGTACCAAAAATACACAGGACTCTACACTTGAAGTCTGTAAATTTTACCTCAAAGGAAATTGTAAATTTGGATCAAGATGCAAATTCAAACATGAAGTGCCCCCAAATCAGATTGTCGGAAGAGCGGAAAGAATTGTAGATGATTCTCATCTTAATGCCCACGAAGATGCCTCTTTTTTATATGAACTCGAAATTCGATTTTCTAAAGACCACAAATACCCTTACCAAGCTCCTCTTGTGGCATTTTATTCCACCAATGAGAATCTACCTCTGGCTTGTCGTTTACATATTTCCGAATTCCTTTATGGCAAGGCCTTGACATTTGCAGAAACTTCAGAACCTGTTGTGTATTCTTTGATAACCCTTTTAGAGGAAGAATCAGAAATAGTCAATTTACTGACAAATACCCATCACAAGTACAGTGTCCCTCCTGTGAACTTTCTGCCGGTATCCTCTGGGACCAGAATAAATAATCCTGTCTGTCGTAAACCAGTGATTCCAAATAATTCTTTTGCTTCAAATCAAATTCCTGAAGGTATGTAAGGCCTTGATTGCGTGGAGGGCCTTGTGGAGGGGGAGTTCAGAATGGTGGATTGAGGAAGTCAGCGTTTCCGAGGGCTGTGCTTGGATCTCCTGGTGATCTTAGGCAAGTCATTCTCCTCAGTCCATGGGCAAAAGGTAATGAGAATCCCCTGAACTGTGGCCTGACTTTAATTGTAAGTGCCATGATTGGGCTCTCTGCATTGAAGGTTTGTAGCGTTATGTAAGTTTATTCAAGCAATTGGGAGCTGGAAGAACTAGAGCATCTTCCGAGAAAAACTGTTCCGTTTAATTCCTTTGGATTCACGTGTTTACTTCTGATGCTTTACATGGAATGACTTTCAAATGAGTTTTTAGAGATATTTCTCTTGCTATAGTACCCTAGTCCCCCAAAGTTCATTAGCATAGGGCTACATTTATGAATCCCTAAATCCTCAAAGAAATGTTTGTGCAATCTTCTGGCTTTATTGAAATCCAGATTTGCTGTACCGATTCTTACACCACAATTAAACTCCATGTTCGAAGTTCAGCAAAGAATTCTCTTATTTGTTGCCATCTTTCTTGAGAGAAACAAATTTTTATTATTTCACAAGAGTTCTTAGGTAAACATCAATAAGTAGAGAACAATGAAATTGCATTGAGATGGGGATGGTGGACAGATGGCTGGGTTCACTCACTAGCCACTTGCTCCCAAACGGCAGCTTTTAGCATGTGGGATTCAGATATATTCCTTGAGAAATGACAAATGGTGTGGCATGGACTTTTTTTTTTTTTTAATTTTTTTTTTTAAGATTCTATTTATTTATTTGACAGAGATCACAAGTAGACAGAGAGGCGGGCAGAGAGAGAGGAGGAAGCAGGCTCCCCGCCGAGCAGAGAGCCCGATGCGGGGCTCGATCCCAGGACCCTGGGATCATGACCCGAGCCGAAGGCAGAGGCTTTAACCCACTGAGCCACCCAGGTGCCCCTGGCATGGACTTTTTTAAGTAATAGCTTTATTGAGATAAAATTTACCTACCATAAAATTCACCCTTAATTTCAAAGTGTACAATTCAGTGGGTTTTTAGTATACTCACAGAGTTGTACAACTGTGACCACCGTCGAATTCCAGAACATTTTTAACCCTAAAAGAAACCCCATACTTAGCTTATTAGTGATGAGTCCTTATTTCTTCCTTCCTTCAACCCTTGAAAACCATGAATCTACATTCAGTCTCTACGCATTTGCCTATTCTGTAAGCTTCATAGAAATGGAATCGGACACTACGTGGCTTTTTGATTGGCTTCTTTCACTTAGCATCATGTTTTCAAGGCTCATTCATATTGTAGGGTGTATCAGTACTTCATTTTATTGCTGAATGATATTCCATTATATGAACATGCCATATTTTGTTTACTGATTTATCATGTGATAGGTATCTGGATTGTTTTATATCATGAGATTTTAGGAACACTTGCAAATAGTTGAAACTTTCAGTTAATTCCTTGAATGTGAAGAATCTATGAAATTAACAAGGTGTGCCATGATGTTTTTCTTCTTTGTTTTTAATTTGGTTTAGCAACAGCCACTTGTACTTGATTAAATTCATTTGAAGGTGCATTTTAAGTTCTTTGGCAGTAGTAGTTGTTTGAAATGAATGAACCTGCTTTACTCAAGCTTTTAAGTTTTTTCTCCATCTTAAACGATTTTGTTGTTACTTTATTAGATAGTGACTTTCCTCCTTTGCTAAAGAAAGGGCTCCATATCGAAAATGTTTCCTTTTATCCCCTTCAAGTTGAAAAAGAATCAGAACCTGAGGAGGAGACAGATGAGGATGAAGGTCCTGCACCAGTTATAGTGGAGAATGAAAGCTATGTGAACCTTAAGAAAAAGATTTCCAAAAGATATGACTGGCAGGCAAAATCAGTACATGCTGAAAATGCTAAAATCTGCAAGCAGTTCCGAATAAAACAGGTAGGGTATTCTGAGAGACTGGCTAGCATTGCTTCCTAATGTCCGGGTGAATGGATTAGGAATTAGGAAGTCCCTAGTATATTTTTGTTTCTCTTTAACTCTGAGTGGTCAAAGTTTCTGCATGCCACAGCAAACTTAGGTGCATGTTCTAGATAGTTTTGGAAAATCCAAAGGCTGGTGAAATGAAACACGCACATATATACCAAATGTTCTCGAAATCATGTGACTTTGGTACTCTGATAGATGATCTGATAAGTGAAATCAAAATTAAAGCTGATTTACATTAGAAAAAGATAGTGTAGAAAGGAGAAGGCTAAGGAGGGGCCCTTACCCCACTTCAGAGAATCGCAGGGTAACTAACTTACCCAAGATCACATAGTTACTAGTGGCAGCAGCGATTCAGGCTAACTTTCTGTTCCTCAAGTCCATGATGTTTTATCCCATTCACAAGAAGATTATTTTAAAAGAACCAATGAGTGAACTTTTAGGGCAGAGTTGGGTGTAGGACAAAAGATTGTTTAACCACTTTGGGGATTGGATTAGATGTGTCTAACAGCTCTTCTAATTGTGAAGTTCTGATTCTGATTCTTGACACAGTATAACACTATAGCATATTGTAGTGCAACAGCTGTAGAATGTCAAAGTGAATAGAAATTCACACCATAAGTAAATAGTAAGACTGTAGAAACAAAAAATTCCACTTTGAATTTGATCAGTTTGTGTTCAGAGGTAATAAATTTATATAATAAAATTATATGCAGAAAATGATGTGTTAATATAAATTTCAAAAATACATCTTTAGTTTTAACATACACTACAATGTTTACTGACCATTGGAAGTCAGACTGAGTTACATAGATGTGATGCCTGCCAAAAAGAACCCTTTCATGAGTGCTCTTACTGTTACTGACTTTAGTAAAAATCTGATGTTGTATAGAACTATGCTGTCCAATGGGGTAGCCCCTAGCCACATGTGGCCGTTTAAATTTAAATTAAACTTAAATAAAGTTAAAATTCAGTTCCTCAGTAACACTGGCCACATTTCAAGTGCTCACTAGCCATGTGTAGCCAGAGGTTTTTATATTGGTCAGTGCTAATACAGACCATCTCCATGAACATGGAAAGTTCTATCAGACAGTGCTGGTGTAGAGACTTCTGCTAGGAAGAGCATGATAGTGCTAAGCAAGATGGCTTATTTCTCTTATAAGATCTTGCAGTTTATTCAGATGTAGGAAAGCCATAAAGATTCCACAGCTGATTCTTTGAGCAGCCTTCTGACTGAAGTCATCAACATCCAATCCTAACAAATCCGCAATCCCTGAACAAATTGTTAAAGAAAGAGCAGAAAGGCTGGGTCAAGCTATGGGATTCAATACTCAGAGCTTTGTGAAAGATGATTCAAAGTATCTAACTGATGCTTTATCTTCTATGTTATTAGGCTTCCAGACAGTTCCAGTCAATTCTGCAAGAAAGACAATCACTCCCTGCTTGGGAAGAAAGAGAAACCATTCTTAAATTGTTGAGCGAGCACCAAGTGCTTGTTATAAGTGGTATGACGGGGTAAGAATGCAATTTATTTGTAATGCGGCTTTCATCCATGAATATGGTATGTACCCTGGTTATGGTAATAACCAGTTTTACTTGTAAAAAACGGGTAACTCTTATTATTTGTGCTTTTTTCTGATCAGATACGAAATAATATTTCACAAAAACCTAATATTACAGATCTGGAGCCAACAGACCCAAATTACAGAAAAACAAAACAAACTCAGAAATCTGTCCAGGAATTTATACACATTGTACACCTCTCCTTGAGACAATTTTAAGGCAAAAGGTCTAACTGAACGTTTTTTTTTTTTTTAAGTTTTTTTAAAAATATTTATTTATTTGAGAGAGAGAGCACATGAGCACACAGTGGGGAGGAACAGAGGGAGAAGGAGAATTTTAAGCACTCTGCGCTGAGCACAGAGCCCAACATGGGGCTTAATCTCACAATCCTGAGATAAGGACCTGAGCTGAAACCAAGAGTCAGACACTTAACTGACTGCACCTCTGAATGCACCATTACTGAATGCTTTTAACAGGCCCATTTTTTAATGTAAAGGATCGTTCCAGAACATTTATACATACACACATACATACATACATAACATTTATTTGTATTAAAATATTGGGACGACTGGGTGGCTCAGTCATTTAAGCGTCTGCCTTCGGCTCAGGTCATGATGCAGGGTCCTGGGATCAAGTCCCACATGGGGCTTCTTGCTCAGCAGGGAGCCTATTTCACCCTCAGCCTGCTGTTCCCCGGGCTTATGCTCTCTCACTCTCACTCTCTCTCTCTCTCTGACAAATAAATAAGTAAAATCTTAAAAAAAAAAAAAAAAGATTTATTTATTTGAAAGAGAGCGAGCATGTGTTTGCATGCAAGCTGGGGGAGGGGCAGAGGCAGAGTGAGAGAGAATTTTCAAACTAACTCCTCCCCAGTGAGCGTGGAGCCCAATGGGGGGCCCTCAATCCCAGGACCCTGCAGTCATGACCTGAGCTGAAATCAAGAGCCAGCTGTTTAATTAACCAGCTGAGCCACTCAGGCACCCCTCCAGAACATTTAACTTGGAAATTTTCCTCTTCTAAATTTATTCTGCTTTCCTTAGAGCTTTTACTTGTTCTTATAAGAATAACTTAGGACATACTATTTTTCCTGTTTTACACTTTTCATATGTTATCCAAACTTATTTAACAGAGACAGGTTGTAGGCTTAGTTTAGTTCTATATTCAGAGGTATTCAACCTAATAACTACATTTGTGCCCAGACTCACTGATACAGTAGTGATTTGAGATCTTCTAGTTTCTTATCTTTTTAGCTTCAGTCCCCTTGTAGCCAAATCAATAAGATAATACATAAAATCATAAGAGAATACTCCCATTTCTTTAGGATTCAAATATAGAGTTCATATTCTTAGAGGTGTTTGCAGAACTTAATCTAATGTCTGCTTAATTGTCCCAATTTTATAAATGATACTAAGCTATTATGAGTGTCCTGTGAATCCAAGTGCAAATTCCTAGCAGTTATGAGCTGTAGGTAACAAGTCAGCAGGTCGGTTTAAAAGATAAATGAAGCTGAACAAGTTTTATTATAATTAGCTTTCTCACTTCCCTGTTGCACATGGTTCTTTTTTTCTATTAACTAGCACTTGAAAACCCTCATTTTATAACTCATTTGTTTTGATATACAGATGTGGGAAAACTACACAGATTCCTCAGTTTATTCTGGATGATTCTCTGAATGGACCACCTGAGAAAGTGGCTAACATCATCTGTACCCAACCCCGACGAATTTCAGCAATATCTGTTGCTGAACGTGTTGCTAAAGAAAGGACAGAAAGAGTGGGTCTGACTGTGGGGTACCAGATCCGGCTAGAAAGTGTCAAGGTTTGTATACTCCGCCTGTTTCCTGATAACAGAAATTTCGTTTTCATGTATAAAGCGTTCTTGGAGTCTGGAGACTCATAGGCGAGCTGGGATATATACTTTAATATAGCTGAAAACCTTTTAGAAATATTTTGGTATAACTCTTACTTGGGTATGCTTCATTTCCTCTATAAAGACCTTTTATTCTTCATTGACAGAAATGATCTAGTAAGTGCTGTTTTACTCTTAAACCTGGGACTTAATCCATTTAACCAAATAAAGAATGGACAAATGGAGAATTGAGTTCATCACTCACTCTTCTTTCTATATTTTATAATAATTTTTGAATGCTTTTTATGAGCCTTAAAATTTTGATATAAAATACAAAAGCTTTTACTGTTGTTGCCAGCAAGAAGCTGTGCATTTAGTGTGGTTTCATATTAAATGCAACTGCCGATGTTTTCAAGATTCTTTGTCCCTATCTATTCAGAATGGCTTTGCTATATTGGCTTTGAAAGTGTTTCCTTTTTGCAAAAATTCCACGAATGCTTTCTATGCCCTTTCCTGTGTAAGTCCTCAGCCACCAGGCTGTTATACTGCACCACGGGTGTCCTGCTGAGAAGGCTGGAAGGAGACACAGCTCTCCAAGGAGTTACCCATATCATCGTTGATGAAGTTCATGAGAGGACAGAAGAAAGGTAAACCAAAGATTTTCTAAACAACTAGCCATACACGTGAAATCATTTTGTTCTGTTTCCAGTTGGGTTTCATAGAACTAGAGAGGAAGACCACAGAGAGGCCCAAGTTAGAGAAGAGGCACTGCTTTCCTTACCTCCAAGGTCTGGAATACGAGAAATGCTAGGAGGGCACATGTTCATCACTAGAAGAGTCATTCTGTTAGATGGACATCTTCTACCAGGAGATACTTAACACCCTCCTGGGCCTCATGCTGATCTGGGCACTGTACTTAGCAGGAATAACAGGTTAATGCACACAGTAGCTGATAGATGGGTTTCCTTCTTTGTTCATTTGGTCAGTCATTTAGTCCTAACAGTCACGCATACATTTATTAAGATGGTCTTAAGTGCCAAGGGATCTGTTAATTGCTGGGGATACTATAGCAAACAAACCTGTGTCATTCTCCTTTATCTCATGGTCTGGTAGGAAAAACAAATAATGAACAAATAAATGAAGATTTAGGAATTGGAGTAAGTACTCAGAAGGAATAAATAGGATGATGTATTTTGGGGAGAGAGATCCATGAGATGGCCAGAGCTGATGTCTCTCAAGAGATGATGATTAAATAAAAAACAGAAGGATGAGAAGGCATCCCATGTGACAGATGGGAGCAAAACCAGCATTCACAGACTTTGCAGTGGGAAAGGACTTCATGATCCCAGAAACTGGAGGAATGCCCTTGCATCTGGTTGTAGTAAACGAGGGGGAAAGTAGCAGATAGAAAAGGGAAGAGCCAGATCTTCCAGGGCCTTGTATACCCTGGGCAATAAAGCATTTAGAATTTATTTTAATGGAATTAGAAGTCATTAAAGAGTTGGTATAAAATCAAAATCTTCAATATTTTAAAAGGAAGGGCCAAGTAAATAGATGGCATTTATCATAGTTTGTCACAGTTTGTGGATCATGTTCTAGAACAACAACAACAACAAAAACTAGTGGGGAAAAAAAGACAATTCTGTAATAATTACTAGACTTTCCCAAAAAGGACTATACTATTATAAATATTTTGAGAATAAACAAAGTCTAAGTAAAGTTGGCAGACTGACAGAAAAGCAGAAAATAGCTAATAGCAAAAATTTAAAAAGAAAAAAACGAACATGAAGAGTCCCCAACTATTGCTGATAAATTGTTTTTAAAACTGAACAGGGAAAACTGAACAGGGAATTTAGAAAACTATTTGTACAAAGAAATAAATACACTGATACACTAGTAAATAGGAAATATGAGGTAATTAGAAACTAAAGGAAAGCAGACTTGCATATAAAAAGAATAGATCAAAATAAAAAGAAGTAATTCCTAGAACACAACAATAGTAAATTTTATTTTATTTTTTTTTAAAGATTTTCTTTATTTATTTGACAGAGAGAGAGAGAGCACAAGCAGGGGGAGGCACAAGCAGGGGGAGTGGGAGAGAGAGATGCAGGCTCCCCGAAAGCAGGGAGCCTGATGCAGGGCTCAATCCCAGGACCGTGAGATCATGATCTGAGCCGAAGCAGAGAAACAGAGGCTTAACCAGCTGAGCCACCCAGGTGCCCCATAAATATTAAACGACTATACATAAAACCTGAGAATCTGTAAGGGGCAAATAATTTTTTTGTAGAGACTCCAGAAAATAGCAGGGGGAAAAACCAAATAGTAAATCATTTCATTTTGCAGGTAAATGTTCAAGTGAACATTTGAAAGAAGAAAATTTTTTCACTAAAAGAAGTTGGAGGAGGAAATCAAATATAACATTCAACCAGACTAATAATTTTTAAATGATTATATTATAAAAATACATTTAAAGTTTTAGGGGAAATGATATCTAGTGTAATTTTGAATGTAAAGAATGGCTTTGGCTTTCCTCCAGTGCTTTGTAAATACTAATCACGAGCTTGTCTTCAGTGGGAGCTGTTTTCTCTCGGAGTCCATATTCTCAAGTGTCTATGATGGAACTGATACTTATTTATTTATTTATTTATTTATTTTTTAAAGATTTTATTTATTTATTTGACAGAGAAAAATCACAAGTAGGCAGAGAGGCAGGCAGAGAGAGAGGAGGAAGCAGGCTCGCTGCTGAGCAGAAAGCCCGATATGGGGCTTGAACCCAGGACCTGGGATCATGACCTGAGCCGAAGGCAGGGGCTTAACCCACTGAGCCACCCAGGCGCCCCTGGAACTGATATTTAAATTAAGGCCATTTAACTCTAAAGCCAGAGTGATGATCCACCAAAGAATATAGCCCCTCCATAGATATATAAGATAGCTAGGAATATCTTAGAAAAGAAATTAAGAAAGGTTGGTCTACCAGATATTAAAATACATTACATAACTATGATATGTAAAATAATGTCATTCATGTATTAAAACGCCTACACCAGAACCTGTCACATTTTAAGTGCTCAATAAATATTTTTTGAAGGGGTGAATTTACCAGACTCTCCATCTAGAATTCGTTTACCCCAAGGACCTGAACCAGTATGTGTCAAACTTTTCCATACGATCAGAACTCAGTTAGGATGGTTGTTAAAAACACAGACCCCTTCCCAACCCCCAGAAGGCCCATTCTATAGGATTGAGATGAGAAATTTTCATTTTTAGCAAGCACCATGTGATTTCTGATATGGAAGTCCCAGAAACACACCCTAAAATATATCCTATATACCCTAGAGGCAGAGAATGGGCACTCGGGAGAAAGTGAGTATCTGGCTGACTGAGAAGTTTCATTTCCCATTATAAACGTGTTGCCATTATGGTTTAAAGGATAATCTCTAAGAGGTTTGTGTGAGTATCCTCAAGTAACCGATCAACTTTTAGAAATCCAACACAATTAAATTTTCAGATCCAGTAAAAAAAATAAAAAAGAATGGCTTTGGGTTTCATAACTTTTACATTTCTGTAAACTCAGAAAAACCGAAGCATAGTACTGGATCTGGCTTCTGGGAGCAATCATGTTCTCAAAAGTGAGGGTTTTATGAAACTTAATGACTTATAGAATATCAACAGTTAAAAATTCAAAATATTTTAACATCTAAATAAATGTTAGTTACACACTGCAGAAGGGAGATTTGGGCTTTTACAAATGCCAGTCTCTGGAAAAGGGTATACAAATTACAAGAAAAAGTAGGGGAATATTTGCTAGTTCAGATGGAAAAAGACAAAAAAAAAAAAACAGGAGTAAAACCCAGGAACCGAGATCAATAAAAATACAGACAAGATTGAAGGTTGAATATAGAAAGCTATATTCAAAGCTATAGTTGTTAGTTTAAAATTTTTAATAAATTTCCCAATCGTAGAGATGAAATGATTTTTCTAAATGTTTAGCAAGTATCAAAGAAATGTCCAGAAGAATAGTTTCTGTCCCCTGTATGATAATTACCTGTTGGAATTTTGGTCTGTTTTTCTCTGGGAGGATATTAGGCATTAGGGGAGAGATGTGTAGGCAAAGATAGGTGTCTCTGCAAACAGTACTGGAGTTTTATGTGCTGCTTTGATGTAGTTAACGTAGTAGCAGGCACTGCCTTTGAAGTTATTAATTGCATAAGGAGATTTTAAAAGTATGGATGTACTATAAATTACTGAAGCATTTCCTATTGTTATATTATTTCCTTTTCTCTAAAAAAGAAAAAATCATAAATATAATTAAATTAGCTCATGAAATTAAAGAGAACTGAATAGTACAAGAACATGCTCTCATTAAAAATTCAAGCAAAACTGGGACGCCTGGGTGGCTCAGTCAGTTAAGCATCTGCCTTCAGCTCAGGTCATGATCTCAGGGTGCTGGCATCGAGCCCCGCATTGGGCTCCTTGCTCAGCAGGGAGTCTGCTTCTCCCTCTGCCTACCACTCCCCAGCTTGTGCTCTCTCTTTCTCTGACAAATAAATAAAATCTTTTTTTAAAAAATACATCAAAAGTTAATTCATTTTTATGTATTGAATTTGTTTGAACTTCAGGTGTTTCTTTTATTTCCTTTAGTGACTTCTTGCTGCTAGTCTTGAAGGACATTGTGTTGCTGAGACCAACTCTTCAAGTTATTCTAATGAGTGCAACTTTAAATGCTGAGCTCTTTTCAGAATATTTCAGTTCCTGCCCAATTATTACTATACCAGGTGATTAAAATGCATCCTTAAATATGCACTGTTCTAATAAGCAAATATAATTATTTTTAAAGATCATTTGAGATATAAAATAATAGGTATATGTACCCATTTTCTAGAGAAGTGATTCGTTTGTAACAAATAAAATTATGACCATATAATGAAATAAAGAAGTAACATTATGTCTATTTGCTAAGAGATTTCAGTTTTACTTGTGCTTTTTTGAAAAGTCTAGGTTATTAGGATTTCTAGCATTCCATTGTGTTTAACATCAAAGTATGAGTTAGTAATGGTAATCTGTCATAAAGAGAGAAGTTGTCTTTGTGTATAAGCATATTGGTTCATTGCTGAATTCTGCTAACTTCTGGGCGTAGTCTACTCTGGGAGAAAGTGAAGTTGAATAGTCCATATCTTCTGGTGCTTTCACAGTCTCATTGTGGGATTAATTTATCACCTTGGGCTTTGCTCTGTTCTTTTGCAATTGATTGCCAAAGGGGTAATTTGGGGACAATTTTGATGAATAATCGTACTATGTTTTCTGGTTGTTGAATGGTTCAGAGTTCCCTGCGGGGAAGAAAGGGAGGTTGAGAAAAGTGTAATAGGTTTAAAAAAAAGAAAGTTTTTTTTTTTAAAGTCTTATTACTAAATGAGCATCTCTGCATCTATGCACTTCTGGGTTTTTTTACGAGCTGGAATCTAACCACTCTAGGAATTTCTATCATCAGAAGCTTTTGTTTTTCTTTCTCTCTCTCTCTCTGTCTCTCTTTTTTTTTCCTTCGGTATTTTTAAGACCACAGAACAAACCATCCCTTGTGCCACACTTTATTTATTTTTTTTTAAAGATTTTATTTATTTATTTGTCATAGAGAGAGAAGCGAGAGCGAGCACAGGCAGACAGAGTGGCAGGCAGAGGCAGAGGGAGAAGCAGGCTCCCTGCCAAGCAAGGAGCCCGATGTGGGACTCGATCCCCGGACGCTGGGATCATGACCTGAGCCGAAGGCAGCTGCTTAACCAACTGAGCCACCCAGGCGTCCCGCCACACTTTATTTTAAGAGAATTTTACATTTGCCAACTATTTATGTCAAGATAATTGAACGGGTATTCTGAGGCTTCTCTCTTTTATTTTCTTGTTCTTCTAGGTCGTACATTTCCTGTTGATCAGTTTTTTCTGGAAGATGCAATTGCTGTGACAAGGTAAGGAAGACATTAATGAGGGTTTGGTGAAAGTCTTTGAAAAGAATGATCATTTTAGGGGTGCCTGGGTGGCTCATTTGGTTAAGTGGCTGCCTTCAGCTTGGGTCATGATCCCAGGGTCCTGGGGTCGAGCCCCACATAAGGCTCCCTTCTCAGCGGGGAGCCTGCTTCTCCCTCTCCCTCTGCCTGCTGCTCTGCCTACTTGGGCTCTCTATCCCTGTGTCAAATAAATAATTAAAAAAAAAAAAAAACCTTAAAAAAATGATCATTTTACCTTAGCGTGCCAAGTTGTTTTTTTTTTTTTTCAAATATTTTATTTATTTATTTGACAGACAGAGATCACAAGTAGGCAGAGAGGCAGGCAGAGAGAGAGAGAGGAGGAAGCAGGCTCCCCGCCGAGCAGGGAGCCCGATGTGGGCCTCGATCCCAGGACCCTGAGATCATGACCTGAGCCGAAGGCAGAGGCTTTAACCCACTGAGCCACCCAGGTGCCCCAGCGTGCCAAGTTTTTAACAGATGTGTTCATTTTTCTTCTGATTTTTCTGCTTGAGCATTTTGTTTTCCCTTTACAGCTATTATTATACAAATTATTTGCAATTTACAGACAATATTGTATATTCAGTACTAACTGGGACCCTAATGTAAACTATAGGCTTTGGGTGTTCATGATGTACCACTGTAGGCTCATCAGTTAGAACAATTATACCACTCTCGTGGGGGGATAGTGATAATGAGGGAGGCTATGCCTATGTGGGGAATGGGGTGTTGGGAAATCTCTGTACGTTCTGCATAATATTGCTGTGAACCAAAACAGCTGTGAAGAAGGAGGTGTATTTAAAAAATGAAGAAGGACCGGGACGCCTGGGTGGCTCAGTTGGTTAAGTGGCTGCCTTCAGCTCAGGTCATGATCCCAGCGTCCTGGAATCGAGTCCCACATCGGGCTCCTTGCTTGGCAGGGAGCCTGCTTCTCCCTCTGCCTCTGCCTGCCACTCTGTCTGCCTGTGCTCGCCAGCTCGCTCTCCCTCTCTCTCAGACAAATAAATAAAAATCTTAAAAAAACAAAACAAAACAAAAAACTTAAAAAAAAATGAAGAAGGACCAAATACATGGAAAATTTAATAAGAAAGAAAAAGACCAATTCTGCAGATAGACTGCCAGCACTCAAATGCTTCCACTTACAAGGGGTGTCTGGCTGGCACAGGAGTGTGTGACTCTTGATCTTAGGGTTGTGAGTTTGAGCACATTGGATATAGGGATTACTTAAATAAATAATTTTTTTAAAAATCCCCTCTAAAAAAAAATTTTTTTAAAATAATAAAAAAATAAAAAAATAAAATCCCCTCTACTTACCAACTAACAATAACAAGTAGCTTAATCTCTCTATGACTCAATTTCATCCTATGTAAAGTGGTCATATTATTAATAGCTGCTTCACAGCATTGTTATGAGGATTGATTAATTAATTAATTCTTGGAGTTAATAGCTGCAGAGTGCCTAGAACTGAGCCTGGCGCGTAGCAGATGCTTTATGTGTGTTAGCTGTTACCATCATCACCATCCTGCAAGCCTCAAGGAGCTTGCAGGATACTGTGAGTATTAGGATGTCTGTAATTTCAGTAATTTGTAGAAAATAGTCATTTTCATTGGATACAAACATTTTTCTCCTTTGAAAGCCCTGATTCCTCTTCCCACTCTTTGACCTTGAAGACTCCCCATGGTTTCATCCTTGCACTCTTTCTTCTCACTGTAAAACTCCTTCATCCCTCCATTAGACTCCTGTGATTTCAGATGTCATCTCTGTGCCAAGAATTCCCAGATCATTATCTTCATTCCTGACCTCAGAGTTCCAGAAGTAGAATAACCTTGATGTCTGGCACCTGAATTCAATTCAGAATTTTTCTCCTTCACCCTGCACCTTCCATTGCTAATAAGCCCCACTGCTAATTCTCTGTTTATTTAATGGTACAATATTCTCAAGCTAAAAACCCCAAACCAGTGGCTCCCAAACTTTGGTGTACAGTAAGCATATGTAGGGAGCTCATTACAGTTGTCATTCTCTGGGCTCCCTCCCCCTTCCATTGAATGGGAATCTCTGGGGAAATTAATCTTTCAATTAGTTTCCGGGTCTTTATTCTCTCACCTGCAAACTCAGACTCACTGCCTCTATCCCAGCTGCCTCTAGAATGATCTTGAGACAGAAGCAAAAGCATTCCAGGGTGTTCCCTCCCCAGAAACAGGGTCCAGCCAGCAGAACCCTGGACTGGTGGAATAGTAGCACACAAATTGGGCAGGAACAGAGCAACATTCTGCCAAATGAGCACGTAAATCAGTGAAAATTTTCATTTCTCACCAGCAGACCCACATCCACACAGACCCATTCCTTTGTCTTCCGTCCTCAGGTATGTGTTACAGGACGGGAGCCCGTATATGCGCTCCACGAAGCAGATGACAAAGGAGAAGCTGAGAGCAAGGCGCAGCAGAACTGCATTTGAAGAAGTAGAGGAAGACCTGAGGCTCTCTCTTCACCTCCAGCCCCAGGATTCTGTCAAAGATGCAGTGCCAGACCAGCAGTTAGATTTCAAGCAGCTCCTGGCCCGCTATAAAGGTAACACGTTTCCTGGGGGAATAGTACACTTATGCCAAAGGTAACTGGTGATCCAGAGGAAGAAGAACATGGCTCTTGTTTCATAGCTACATTGTCTTAATTCATCAGAACAACCTTAAACTTAGAAAAAGAGCAGTACCAGCACATATTAAATAGAATTGTTACTGTATTTACCAGTAGGGTATTTTTTTTCTGATTATGAAAGATGTGTTTATTATAGAAAAATTGGGAAATAGTGAAATATAAATATATACTTGAGCATTTTATGACTTTTTATTTTGATATAATTGCGAATTCAAAATTAAAGTTGGCAGAACTATACAGTGAACTCTCTGATACCCTTCACCCCAGTTCACCAATTTTTATTATTTTGCCTCATTTGCTTTATCATCTGCTCTGTGCACATGTATCTATTTCTTTCCTGAACCTTTTGAGTAAGTTGCAGATAGGGTGTCCCCTAATTCCTAACATTTTAATATGTATTTCTTTTTTTTTTTTCTTAAAGATTTTATTTATTCATTTGACAGAGAGACAGTGAGAGAGGGAACACAAGCAGAGAGAGTGGAAGAGGGAGAAGCAGGCTTCCCATCGAGCAGGGAGCCCGATGCAGGGCTCAATCCCAGGACCTGGGATCATGACCTGAGCCAAAGGCAGACGCTTAACGACTGAGCCATCCAGATGCTCTTAATATGTATTTCTTAAAAGCATAAGCACTGGACATGATCAAAATGAAGATATTTAACTGATATAATGCTATTATTTAATCCATAGTCAATATTCTAATTTTGCCAGTTATCGAAAAAATGTTCTTTATTGCTATTTTTTTTTCTGGTCCAGAATCCAACCCACAATTACATATTGAGTTCGTTGTGTATTTTTTAGTTTCTTTTGATCTGGAAAAATTCCCCAGCCTGTATTTTTCTTTTAAAATCTTGACATTTTTTGGAGTTTGGGCCAGTTATTTTGTAGAATGTCCCTCCATTTGGTTTTGTCTAATGTTTCCCTATGACTAAATTTAGATTAGAAAACCTAACCTGTTGGGTTTTATCTTTGGTTAGAAAACCACAGAAACGGGTGCCTGGGTGGCTCCGTCGGTTAAGTGGCTGCCTTCAGCTCAGGTAGTGATCCCAGGGTCCTGGGATCAAGCCTCACATCGGGTTCTCTGCTCAGCGGGGAGCCTGCTTCCTCCTCTCTCTGCCTTCCTCTGTCTACTTGTGTTCTCTCTGTCAAATAAATAAATTAAAAATCTTTACAAAAGAAAACCACAGAAACAATGTTGAGTTGTTCTTGGTACATCATATCAGGAGGCATATGACGTTGGTTTATCCCATTATTGACGGTATTATTTTTGATCACTTGGTTAAGGTGATGTCAGCTAGGTGTCTCCCATGTGTAGTTACTGTTTGTTCCCTTTATAGTTAGTAAGTCATTTGTGGAAAGATGTTTGAGGCTATTTAAATATCCTGTAATAGCCTCAAAATTTCATCCACTAGTTTTAGCATTACTTTTGGGCTTTTCAAATAACATCTTTTGTGGGGCACCCCGTGCTGAGCATTTGTATGTATGTTGTTAGGTGCTCCTTCCTCCTCCTGTTAGGTGCCAGACCCCACCTAACTGTTCTTTGTTCCTGGATAGTCTTCTGTACATATAAGCTGGGCTGAGCACATAGAAACCCCAAGGTTGCTACTTCTGTTTTCTTCCCTAAAGCCTACACTAGAGACAGGTCTCAGCTTCCCTTCCCACTCTTTTCCCTGGACTGCCACCCCAATTCCTCTTAGCCTTTTTTTTGGGGGGGGGATGTATTTACCTTTCAAGGAGTAAGAGCCTCTAACCCCCCTGTTACTGCTTCTATGGGAGAAGAGACAAGTGGGTGTTCCTTTTTCTCCTTCCTCTGAAGACTATATTCCCAGTCCTGCATAGGGAACAGCAATCATCCAGGAATTAGGGAATTAGCTGTTATTCTGCTGTTTAGGAAGATATGAATAGCTCCTAAACATTATTTCACTTAACCTTCCCAACATCCTGAGAAGTAAGGTTGAGAGCATGAACTTGCATCGGATAGAGCCGGGTTCAACTCACTCGCTCGCGCGGAGTTCCTTGAGCGAGTTCTTTGTGCTCTCCATACCTGTTTCCTTAGCGATAAAATGGAGTTGTTTAGGGAATTAAATGAGATAATACAAATCCACTGCACAGCACCCAGCTAGTGAGTGCACATTTGTGATTCTAATTAAAATATGTCTGAGTCAAAAATTTGTGTTCTTTCTATACATCACACCAGCTGATAATTCCCATTTCCTATTCTATTAAATTATTTCAGAATTATTTTAGAAACTTCAGAATTTTCTTCAAAAATAATGACTGGATGGGGCACCTGAGTAACTCAGTCTGTTAAGTATCCAGCTGCTGATTTCAGCTCAGGTCATGATCTCAGGGTTGTGAGATTGAGTCTCATGTCGGGCTCTACGCTCAGCGTGGAGGCTGCTTGAGATTCTCTTTCCCTCTCCCTCTGTCCCTCCCCCACCTTGTGCTCTCTATCTCTAAAATAAATAAATCTTTTTTTTTAAGATTTTATTTATTTATTTGACAGACAGGGATCACAAAGTAGGCAGAGACGCAGGCAGAGAGAGCGGAGGAAGCAGGCTCCCTGCTGAGCAGAGAGCCCGATGCAGGGCTCAATCCCAGGACCCCGGGATCATGACCCGAGCCGAAGGCAGAGGCTCAACCCACTGAGCCACCCGGGTGCCCCTAAAATAAATAAATCTTTTAAAAATAAATAAAATAAATTATGCCTGGATCTAAGCCAGGCCTTTCTAATTTCAAGCACACAGGTTACCAAAGTTCAAAAAGTACTTCTGAGAACTTCTTTCTGAAGGAGGAGGATGGAATGTTTGGGGTTAAGAAACCTGGCTCTACCACTAGCTTCTGTGTGGTGGTGGGCTTCTCCCTTTCCCTGTATCAAAAAGACCAGATCTAGTTGATCTCAAGGCTCTCTCACTTTTCAGAAAATTAAATAATGTTTCTGAGCTCTATTTTTAAAACTTTTTCTAGTTAAATAGTAATAATTAGTCCTCTTAAGTATATAATTGATTAGCAAAAACCACCAAACTATTCTTAAAAAATTATTTTCACTTCTTTTTTCTCTGGTAGTTAATCCTTTCTCCTTTTTGAAAAGTGTGCTCTTTGGAATCTTGACATATAAAAATGATTCCTTCTCTGCCCTCCACACCCAACCACATCCTTTCTTTTTGTATTTTTTGGGTTGCTTTTTTTTTTTTTTTCCGGTTTTTGTTGTTATCGTTTTTAAGGTTTTATTTGTCAGAGAGAGAGAGAACACAAGCAGGGGGAGCGGCAGTCAGAACAGGCAGAGCAGGTAGAGGGAGAAGCAGGCTCCCCGCTGAGCAAGGAGCCCAATGTGGGACTCGATCCCATTACCTCGGGATCATGACATGAGCAGAAGGTAGCCCCTTAACCAACCGAACCACCCAGGTGTCCCACCTCTTTTCAGGTTTGACCTATGTAGGGTTCACACTGCCAGAACAACATTATTTAAAACTGCTTTTGCCACTCTTCAAACTTTTCAGCATACTATAGGAAGCTTCCTTTCCTTCATACAGCCTGCAGCTGTTTTGTCCCAGTTAGACTATATTCAGGGCGATGGGCTATTAATAGGCCCCGAGAAGAAAGGCCAGCGGTCTTTGAGGAGTTAGTCTTCCCAAGACTCTGCTGTTTGTTTTCAAGAGAGCTTAGGCACACAGTACAGCCCAAAGAACTGCATCTTTCACTAGGGCCTCAGATACATTAGGAGGAGACTGGAGACCCTAACCTGAAAGTCTGTGACTAGACTTCAGGGATTGTTGGTGAAGCCATTAAAATCACATGTATTTTTCAGGAAGATCCAGCACTTCTGTTCTTTTTTCAAAGGAACCTAAAGGTTAAGAGTCACTGTGGTGAGGGTGTTTGTGAAAGCTGCGGTCTTTGTCCGTCAATTTCCCTGTATCACTGTTACCTGGACTTCCGTCGGATCTGACTCATGACTTGGTTGAATCTGGAAGGGCTTTCCAAAGTGTACTTGACTTTGAATTTTGTTTCTAGGATTTAAATTGTCAATAAATGTGTGACAGATTAAAGAAGGGAAGGAAGAAAGGAAAACGTGGCCGATCTGGGCCTTTCCGGCAGGGTCAGGTGCATGTTCTTTGAGTCACTGTTCAAGCAAAAAGTGCTCCTAGCCAGCATGTATTTTTTTGAGAGACTGGAAGAAAACAATTCATTTCCTTACATAAATGTGAACAACATCTGTGTCATTAAATCAAGAGACTCACCAAGTTCACAGGCGACATTGTCCTTAATAAGGTATAATTATCCTGCTGATTTTTACTTTTCTTTCAGGGCTTAGCAAATCAGTCATCAAAACAATGTCCATCATGGATTTCGAAAAGGTTAATCTTGAATTAATAGAGGCCTTGTTAGAGTGGATTGTAGATGGAAAGCACTCCTACCCTCCAGGTAAACTCATCTTGTCTTCCTTTGTGTGTAGACGGCCAAAAGGGAAAGCAGTTCTCTCACTGAGATATAGTGTGTGCTGTGGGGGCAGCCTCCCTGCCTGGAGCCCTGCCCCAACCCCCACCTTCACTTTTCCACCCCCAATTGTACGTAACGTTGGTTATTAGGCTTTTCAGGGGGGAATTTTACCTTTTACTTTTTGAGGTTTACCCACTCCTTTTTTTTTTTTTTTTTAAAGATTTTATTTATTTATTTGTCAGAGAGAGAGAGAGAGAGAGTACACAAGCAGGCAGAGTGGCAGGAAGAGGCAGAGAGAGAAGCAGGCTCCCCGCTGAGCAAGGAGCCCGATGTGGGACTCAACCTGAGCTCAAGGCAGTGGCTTAACTAACTGAGCCACCCAGGTGTCTCCACCCACTCCTTTTTGTTCAGCACTCTTTGGGTTCCTGCTGAACAAAAAGATGTTACTAATACAAAGTCCAAAAGGAAGAAAGCTGAAAAGAAGGCCTGGGTGATCCATATGGTAAACCCTGAGCCCCAGGCTAGATGGGAGTCTGGTGATGAGTGTTTGAAGTCCATGAAGACTCTGTACATGGAGGTCACAGGGCCGGGTGGGGGGTAGTAGAACTGGGTTTGGAGTCTGATAAACTTCCAGCTCTGCTACTCAGAAATGTTTAGTCTCAGATAAAGTCCTTATCCTTGCTCTACCTCAGTTTTCTGGCCTGTGAAATGAAGAGAATCATAATTCCTCTGACATATAGCTGTTTTTAGGATTAAAAGAAACCATATATAGGGGGCGCCTGGCTATCTCAGTCAGTGGAGCATGTGACTCTTGATCTCAGGACTGTGAGTTTGAGCCACACTGTTGGGTGTAGAGATTACTTAAAAATAAAATCTTTTTTAAAAAGTAAGAAAGAAACCATATGCAAAGCACTTAGTATAGTGCCTGGCATATAGTTAATGCCCAGTAGATTCTACCCCTAAGAATGGTAACATTATAATTATAACATGCATCGTCATTATTATTCCTAGGCTCACTGTTACTGCTGCTGCTGCATGACCCAGAGCAATCACTAAATTCCCCTTACTCACTGTCTTCCCATCCCAGTGGCCTTCTTAACCTCACTTGTAGTCCTTTATCCCCCAAATCTTCTCATAACTGAATCCTTCCCATCACTCAGCTTCTGTCAAATATCTTCTCTTTAGGGAAGTCTTCTCTGACCACCCTATCTGTTTTCTCACCCCCATCCCTTACACCGTCATGATACCCAAAAGTGATTTTCATTTTCATTATAGCACTTCACAATACCCAGAATTTTAGTTCTGCTTACTGACAGTTTCCTTAAGTAGAAAGCAGACTCCTTAAGAATAAGGATTTATCATGCACCACTGTGTTCCTCAGAGCCCAGGACGGCACCTGGAATATTTAGGTACAGAGTAAATATTCGTTGCATGAATAGATGCAGCCACTGTTGGCGGATCGTAAGTTGATCAAACAGTTCCTTTATGCGCTCACTACACAGTGCTTTGAGGAAGTGGGAATGGCCACCCTCCTCTGCTTAGACCATAGTCATTACATGATATATTGTGTAGACACATAGGAGCTACATGAAGGGATTGAAGTGCGCTGTTTGTTACTTCTTGGCAAGTAGTCAGTGTTGGCTAATGCATTGTCACTGGGCTGGATGTCTTGTTTCATCCCAAAGGAAAAGGTGATTGTTGAGAAACATCAGGCATAGCAGACAAAAAGAACTGTTAGAAATTTACACGAATTCATTGGGGGACCACCCTGGCCTAGGCATACAGGGTGGGTTGTGTAGGTGGGTGTCTTTATGATAATTATCTGTGACCAACAAAAGAATAACCAGCCCCTAAAAAGGAAGTAAGCCATTGAAGGTGTGATCAATAGAGATGTTAAAACAATTTAAGTTCCCTGGTTAGCTTTCTGAGACCCTAAAGGCCCTCATTGACAACCCTGTAGTAACCCTTTCAGGACCCCTCTCACTCTTGAGAACTTTTTCTGTATCTTCACTTAATAAACTTCTATCGCTTTTCTAATAAAAAAAAGAAAGGAAGGAAGGAAGGAAGGAAGATTACCTGAATTCAAAGCAGAGTAAATGTAGTGAGTAGGGACTCTGATAGATTTGTGAATATTAAAGATATCCCTGATACAGGGGCCCCTGGCTGGCTCAATCAGTAGAGCATGTGACTCTTGATCTTGGGGTTGTGAGTTCAAGCCCCAGGTTGGGTGTAGAGCTTACTTTATTTAAAAAAAAAAAAAAGGTTTCCCCAATACAGGTGGCCAAGCTGTAAGGGCAGAGCAGATCAGGAGGCACATAAAAACATGACAAAAAGATTTTTCCCATCTGTATAGATTATTTTACCACCCTTTTCTTTTTTTTAATGTTTAATTTATTTATGGCTTGCCTGGGTGGCACCGTCAGTTAAGTGATTGACTCTTAGTTTTCGCTCAGATCATGATGTCGGGGTTGTGACATGGAGCATCTCAAATAAATAAATAAAATCTAAAAAAAAAAATTATTTATTTTAAAGAGTGAGCATGGGGAGGGTGGGGGTTGGACAGAGGGAGAGGGAGAGAAAAACTTAAGCAGACTCCCACTGAGCACAGAGCCTATCGCGGGGCTGGTGACCTGAGCCAATTTTACCACTCTTAAATTTTGTTTTTATAAATTTTATAAATTTTATAAATTTTATAAATTTTAATAGAGAGGAACATGGAATGTGTAATGGAAAGAACATGGGTCTGTTGCCCGAAGCCTTAGGTTTGTGTCCAAGCCCCACTCTTAACTCTGTCGCCTGGCCAAGGTACTGAGTCACTTTGAAGGTACTAATAATCTTAATGGGTAGTTGTGAGAATCAAATGAGAAAGTGTATGTAAACATGCTTTATAAACTAGGAAGTGTTGAAACTAACCCTCAAACGTATCTTTTGCCTCCTTCAGGGTTCCATTTTTTTTTTTAAGGTTTTATTTATTTATTTGACAGTGAGATCACATGTAGGCAGAGCGGCAGGCAGAGAGTGGGGGGAAGCAGACTCCCTGCTGAACAGAGAGCCCAATTCGGGGCTCGATCCCAGGACCCTGGGATCATGACCTGAGCCGAAGGCAGAGGCTTTAACCCACTGAGCCACCCAGGTGCCCCCCGGG